CATTAGGGTAACTTTAGGATATCTAAATCGTTAATAAGTATTTATAGAATGCGACTGCTATAGGGTTAGTCATTATGTTAGAAACCAAGAATAAGAAGATAAAAGACACAGCTTTTTTTTTTTAAAGGAGCTTATAATCAACAAGAGGAGACATTCACCTAAACAAATAAATTACAAATAAACAATGTAAGATCGTAAATGCTGTGATAGAAGTAAACAGAGGGTACCAACTAAAGCACCGAATGGGAGTAGGAGAGAGATCGGGAGAAGACTCACAGAGACGCTGCAGGTAGATTTCTTAGGAAAATGATGACGACTGAGCTGCATCATAAAATAATGAGAGGGGATGGCAGGTGAAGACAAGAGGAAGAGGAGACATTCGTGTGTGAGTGATAAAGGCTTGAAAATCCCACAAGGATGGTGAAATCACTCGGAACGGCTGAAGCAAGCATGAGCGGACGGCAGATGCCGGTCAAGAAGTCTACTCAGGGATCACATGTGAAACTAAGAGTAACTGTGAATGATCTGTACCTTACTCTCAAAATGCGAGGAGCCACTGCATAATTTTGAGGGAACAGGCGAAATACAAGTCTGTGTTTTAGCAGGGCCACTTTGACAGCAGTGGGGAGGATGGATTTGATGGTGGCTAGCCTGGAGGTAGAAAAACTAGTCAGGAGGCCACCAGAGTAACCTAGTTTTTTTTGGAAAAAAAAAAAGCAACTGTCCAGGGCCGTAAGTTGGAAGAGAACAACGGCAGCAGAGTGGGGCGTGGACCATTTCTGTGAAGAGGCTTGAGCCGGAGCTGCAGGTTTGGGAATCAAGAACATTTTAAGCGGTGGCTGAGCTATGGCGAATGTGATCCGGCAGGGAGAAAGGACAGTAAAAAGAGAAGAAAACCAGGAGAAAGCTCTGTGCGATTCTGGTGTTCAGAGGCAAGAAAGGTGGACACACTCCTAAAGGAGACAGAGGAGGGATCGAGAAAGATCATGAGGAAGATGGAAGAGAAGCCACGAGAGGGGGTGTCAGCTTCAGAAAGCAGCAGTGTGCAGCGTCCGGAATGAGCGCGTGCTGCGCTGAGCCATCGGGTGTCCAGTCGACCTTTCCCACAACTGCTCAATAGAGTAGTGGCGTGGAAGCCACATTTCGGAAGAGTTACGGGCTGACTAGAGATAAGAAAATAAAGTCAGCAAGTGGAAACTGCCTTTTCCCCAAGAAGGTTTCACATGAAGAAAAGGAGAAGAATAAGGTAGTAGATAGGTTTTTGTTATTGTTGTTACTACTTTTAAGTTAGTAGAGTTTGTTTTTTTAATGCGACGGAGAAAGTGATGATTTAAGAAAAAGAAGAATCAAAAGAATAAGCTCCTTAGGAGGGTGAGAGTACGGAGAGGGGCCCGGCCCCAGACGGCGAAACCACCTCAACAGAGACGGGGGAAGGAGGAGCAGGGCTGGGAATACCAGGAAGTCTGGGAAATTAATGTTCCCATTTATGGCCGCTGTTTTCTCTGTGAAATCATTAGTTAAAGTAAGAGTGACATTGGTCAGCAGAGCGTGGTTACGGGGAGAGAGAACTGGAAGGGTGAGAGCTTGTGGCAGAGCATTAGCCCAGGGAAGAACTGTCCCCTCACTTCGTCCTCCACAGCACGCTTCCCACCTCCCTGGTAAAGGAGGAACTTTCAACAACACATCTGCCCTCTTGGGGAAGTCCTGTGGAAGAAACTTCTACTACTTCTCCAGCTCACAGAAAAAAGGGGCGGGGGGCGGGGGGAGTCATGGTGCCTGGGAAGAAGAGAACCTGACACACATCAGTCCTCAGCTCTCACGCGGGTGGGCGCACTGAGTCACCGCTCACACGTGGGTCTCCGACTCTTACCCGTTTACCTTTTACATTCCCGCAGATGGAGGGAGAGCCAGAGTGCTCTGAACTCCTCATGGGCGCACATCTAACTCTCTCCACCACCGAGGGCTTTAAGATTTGCTGTGGGAAGAGGAAGTAACAGGAGGCTCCCCCTTCAGCAGCAAGTAGCGGCACATTTTTCAATCTAGATTTATCTGCAGCAAGGTGGGTACTAAGTTCCAGTCCTCCTCTAAGCTTTTCTCCTGATTTTCCAACTGACTGAAAACCTAAAGAAGTTAGGAGGGGTGGTCAGCATTCTGAAAACCTTAGATTTACAGTTTGAAATTTCTGAAGGATCTCTTGGTAGCACATTTGTCAATGATCACAAGGACCACAAGAGGTCATGGAAATAAAAAAAGAAAAAAACATTCATCCCACTAGTGTGGAATGAATAGAGAGACACTGGAGTCAAAGATCTCAAAGAACAACAGCGTTGGGTGTTGGGCGCAATCTCTACATGGATCCCCTACTGAAATCATCCACATTGAAGGCGAACTTATCATGAAGAGGAAACATGTGAGCGAGGTTCGAAATATCCTGACAAAGGCAAGGGAGTGACTAGGATGTGATGGTGACAGCGAGTCCAGGGGAGCAGCGGAGCTGGTACCATTAGGGCCTTTCCTGACGAGTTTTACAGGACACTGCAGGCATCACGTTTGGAAGCCACAGAAGGAGGAGGCAGATGTCAAGCCTGATGCGGGCCCTTGGATTCTTCAGGTTGAGCCAGTTAAATACTGTTCAGTGAGGAGAGAGGCAGGGTAAGCAATAATCTCAGGGAGAAAGAGAGGTTTTATCTAAGACAAAATATACAGTGTTTTGAGAAGACAACTACCATTGATCCAGAAAGCACAATGGAAAGGGAGGTTCAAAGGGTAGAGAACAAAAGAATAGAAGCCAGAAAGCGTCCAGGAACAAGCTGTCTCTTCCCGTGCCATCAGGACTGACTGTTGGTTTTCCTGCAAGTTGGATACAATGGGAAATGATAAAAAAAAAATGATTCATACATACCATAAACACTCTATATAACTTAAAACATAAATGTACACACATGTGCCAATCTTCTGATGTGAGGCCAAGGCCTGTTCTCTGCACATGGGTCTGCTGATTGGAGTTATGCGTCTTCTGTCTTACATAAACCACATCCTTCATCTATGATTTCCAGTTTGGCTTTCTTTACAGCGGAGGGAGAACCTGAAGACACTTGGGAAATAATCTGAATGCAGAGCCCATCTAGATTTTTCTCACTCTCCCCACCTTCTTCCAGCGTTGTCCTGCCTACAAACAGCAAAGCTTTTACAGCTAACGTTTACCAAGTCTTTCCAAAGCTGGGTTTATGGAAACAAAACTCAAAGTCTTTTCTGTGTCTGATCAGTTCACTTGCTCTTCATTTCAAGTACATGATTAAAATAAGAAATACAACTGGCTCAGCGGGCTTGAGGACACACACCACACAATGGGCCCTTGGGAGAAAGACAGCTTTCCCGGTGGGAACAGGAGCCTGGGGGCAATCTCAAGGGAAGCTTTTGGCTGAAAACATCCAAGGGCTGAGGGTGGTGATCACCTGGCCAGTGAGGAGAGCTCTAACTATCCAGGTGGCAAGAGTGACTGCACGTTGAGCCACAGGCAAGGACAAATCCGACTGTGAAGTAGTATCAAGGGGCTCCGAGTTTTTCAAGTGGAGAGCTGCTGTGAAGACTGCAGTTTTTTTCTTCTCCACGTGCATCCTTTTCCCTTTCTCCAGTCCCTTAACTCTTAAGGCTTTTCTCATTTTGGAGGAAAGAAACTAGGACATTAAGGAACAAGGTAGAAGAAGAAGAAGGGTCTAGAGAAAAAGACTGAGGTTCCAGAGCCACTTCCGGACCCCGAGCTATCCCCTTCTTCTCTGTCTTTTAGCACTGGCGTCCTGGCATTTAGCTGACCCGCCTCTCTCACTACTTCCATCTTCCTTCCTCTGAATTTTCTCGCCAGGTAACTGGAAACCAAATTCATATTTATCTACATTATCTGTCTTTCTTCCTTCCCACTGGCTCTTCAGGGAGGTTACTCGTAGTAACCATACCGAAAGGGCAGGGTAACAAAGCCTACAAAACCAGAACAATCTCTACTTTCAAGAAATTAAGTACCAGTGCTGCCTGCCATGGGGCTAGGCCTGTCCTATCCTAAACATCATCACGAACTCCCTTGTTACAGTTTCTAACACAGGGTATCCCCTTTCATGCCCCATAGAATGGGTGGAATCCAGCACCACACCTGCGCGTTCCTCGGTGATGAGTCCCCCATGGGGAAGTCTCTCCCCCACTACTCTAGGTCATAGATTCAACAAAAATCACAAAATAAAGTGTATCGGACACTACTAAAATGGCCATTTAGAGACCAGTGACCACTTCCTGAGCACTTGCTATGGTCACTCAGTGTGCTAAGTGCCCCATGGGCTGAGACATCATCTAGTTGCGTCCTCCCGGACATAGAATTGTTATTATCATCTCCTTTTCACAAGGAAATTGACAAGACTAGACGGGATTAAGTATGATACTCAAGGTCACTCAGAAAGTAAGTAGCAGAGCCAGGATTTGAATCTGCGTGATTGGACCTCAGAGCCTGTGGGGTTTTTTTGGTTTTTTTTTTTGAGCCTGTGGTCTTTATTACTACATTACACTGCTGCTTCCCAAAATGTCCAGGTTCAAGTGGAATTTGTTGAAAATTCAGAAGAATTTTTTTACTGATATACACAATGTCAATGTTTCCCTCCCGCTGACAATTATCCCCATCCATACACCACAAGAAAAATTAGCTTAGGGCATTTACCTAATTGTTCTAAAGTGATGTTTACCTGTTTAAGGCAATAAGGAAAAAAATTAGCTGACTAAAATATACTCTTTCTGGTTTAAGCAACCCTATTTGGCACTGGGTGGCAAAAGACAACATCTCTGCCCATCAACCATGAAAGCAATCCCTACTCAATAACTTTCTGCAATCCTCTCCCTTGGGCAAACATACTACCTTTTACAACGAATGAGGGGTCAGGGAAAGAGAGGCATGCAGCAGGGTAGGAAAGATGGGTAAACCAAAAAGTTAATTGTTGGAAAGTTAAATAACTCAAACTTACTTTTTTGGTACACTTCTTGACAGTGTTGATTAATTCTTGTATGACCAGATCTACACTCTTCAAGGAAGGTCCTTTCAGTTTCACGATTTGCTTTTTGACTATTGCTTCAAATGCCATGTCTGGAGTAAACAACCCTGTCCTGAAATATAAGAAAGAAAGCAGGACATTAGATTTTTTTTTTTTAAAGATTTTATTTATTTATTTGACAGACAGAGATCACAAACAGGCAGAGAGAGAGGAGGAAGCAGGCTCCCTGCTGAGCAGAGAGCCTGATGCAGGGCTCGATCCCAGGACCCTGAGATCATGACCTGAGCCGAAGGCAGCAGCTTAACCCACTGAGCCACCCAGGCGCCCCTAGATTTTTTTAAATTAAGTAATATCCAATGCTTTTTTGAAAAAGGTTTTCATTGACATGCCACTTAAGCAAGCATGTAATACGCAAGTTTAAAAGTTACACAGTGGTTTATTCCACCAACAGTATCATTTACTATTACAAAGGTACAAATGACAATATTTTCCCTACTACTATATTCCATAATAAATTTCATTCTCTAGATGATTAGCATTACCTAAAAACAGTTCCCAAAAGGTTTTCAGGCCTGGAATAATATAACCTGTAACTAATGTTTAACTGTAATTCATCTCATCTCACTGTTTCACAGCAGTAAAAAGCAATGCTATGATAAAAATGATGTCCTAAATTTCCATTTCTCTATCTAAAGGATTCCAAAAGCAACCCCCTCTTGTCATTCACAGAGCAGAAAACAATCCTCATTTTGTCAACACTGAAATAGTAGTGTTCCTGACTACGCAATCTCTTCTTTCCAGGAGAGCTGTATTATAGTGAGCTCAGTGGTTCCTGGTCTGGGGTCCTGGGGTGCTAGAGGCAAAGGAAGACAGCTGAGTGGAACTAGCTTGGGACCCAAGATGCCTACATTGTGAGTTTACAAAAATAACGAATGATAACCAACCAAAATAGGAAGTATCTTTTCACCTGGCTAGAATTAATTCAAATTGGTGTCATAACAATGCTTTTGTCATGCTGGGCAGGAGCTCAGGAAAGCAGGAGTGTGTGGGGGGTGGGGTGTGAAAGAGAGAGAGAGAGAGAGATTAAAAAAAAAAGTGAAAAAGAAGAGATAAAAAGCGAAAAAATGATTACATCTAAATAAAAGGCCAGTGGAGAAAAGCTACCATAAGAGGGACCATGAACCCTGCGTACCCTCATGCCCTGTAGGCCCCAGACCCTGGTGCCTGATCCTGCCCACCCCTAGGCCCTTCTCCCTCCCTCTTCTCACTTCTCCTTCTTTAACTTTGCTCCTTCACCACTCAATTCTGTGGTGCTTCTGGTAGGAAATTTCTTTCATACTTCCCTTCCAGCAGCTTTATTCTAGTCCCTTCTCGTCATTTACTTCGGTGGCAGCCTACACTCGCCTCTCTGTCTACCTGTAGTGATCGTACCGTATCACAATACGCAGTTTCTCCACATTGGACGCAGAACGAAATCCACACTGTTTGGGCTAACATTAAAAATCGCCCTGTCTGACCCTGATCTTCCATTTCAGTTATTTGCCTCCTCTCTTTCAGGCACCCCATGTCTCAGCCAAACCCAACCACTGGCCTTTCCACAAACACACTCTCACTAACGTTTTCTGTCTTTGCCTCCGTCCATGAGGTTCACTTCACCCTCCCCATACTTTCAGCCCATCCAAGTCCCACCTGTGCTTCAAAGCCCAGATCAAAAGCACCCACTTCCTCCAGCTCGCCTTCTCCAGTCCCGCCACGGACAAGGTCTTCCTTCTCTGAACCCCAACATCCTATTTTGCATTGCAGTGATCTGAGCATGCCTGTCCCATTACTACCCTGGTAGAAAGGTCATTCCTGCATTTATCTTTGCTCGCCCCATAAGGACTGTCTTCCTCCCTTGCTCCCCACTGGCACGGGGTGCCTACAGAACAAAGGACGATTAGGTCCGCAGGGGACAAAGATGGCTTCTGTTACTCAAATATCTAACAATCAACCCGAAACAAAACGTTTCCTGTAAAGTGTCTTTAAGAGCCTAAGCAGTCACGCCATGAGCATGTCGCATTCTCAGGACACTGTGCCGTTCTTATCATCGTACAGGCAAATTAATTCCAGAATAATAAATAACAACCCATCTCTTTTGGTATGCATGTAAATCAGAAATCTTCAGAACGGAATTACTGAGCTTTTGCAATTACATTCAGCAAAAATGTATCTGGTAAGTTTTAAAAGCCAAGTAAAAATACTGTATTTTACTTTTACAGTAAAGTAAGTCCATAAAAAATGCTTCCTGACCCAAAAAATGTGATTTGGTTTCACAGTACTCATCAGACGAACATGTTTGAGTACCAGCCATGCCCAGCTCAAGAGCAAGACACAGTTTCTATACCGAATGTACCCGAGATTCGGGGGAGACAGAATAGAATAAATAGGGAACTTAGAAATCCTACTGACAGTCAGAAAAAGACTGGATTTGGTTACAGAAGGTTTTCTCCCCTTTACTTTGTGAATGCATGTTTACCTATCCTATTTGCAACATGCAGAGCAGGCTGTGTGAATGTTAAAAGGAGAGAGATTTAAATGTCATAACTCCTTTCACGCGTATACTCAGTGTCAAACTCTGCCCTCTCAGGCTCTGCTCCCAAAATAGTCTCATCTTGACCTGTGGCAGAAGCCAAGGTACAGTGGCCAGCAGACAGGGGACACCTCCTCCACAGGAGAGCACCTATGAAGTAGGCAACTGAAGGTCAGTACCTTAAATTCAGGACATTCAATACAAGCTCCATTAAATTCTGTACCCGATCTCAAGAAATGTGTGTTTTAAGTTCATTTTTTTCTTACCATAAGTGCTTTAAAGAAAGTAAATGAGCACCTGGTGTTATACACAATGAATCACGGAACGCTACATCAGAAACTAATGATGTACTGTATGGTGACTAACATAACATAGTAAAAAAAAAAAGTAAATCAGAATAACCCCGTTTTATATAAGGGAAAATTCACACGAATTTCCTCACAAAGGACAAGCTCCCCTCGCAGCCTCACGTCCCGCTGCTCTCCTGTCCAGTGAAAGTGCGTGACTCCCCACTCCACGAGCCCCTCCGGCACCTCCCTACCCATATGCCTTTGCTCACACTAATCTTTCCGCGTCAAGCCCTTTCTCTTATGCTCTCCCCTCAACAATTGCCAGCCTCTCGTGTTTCGCACACACGTACGCGCGTGCAAACACACAGCACACCGTCGCCTGTTAAAATCATTCTTGTTCTCTTTACAGGCAAGGTTCAACTCAAGAGTCACCACCTTCATTCGTCTTTCCCAAACTTCCTCCCCAACTGCAGCCGAAATTTCTCTGTCGTGTCTCTGGGTAAGGAAGGATTCCTTATGCTCAGGTCAGGCCTCCGTCCATAAAACGCAAAGCTCTGGAGTACAGGGTCCTGCTCACTGGCAAGTCCCTAACTGTACAGAACATAGTGCTCTGAGCGCAGGAAGTGTTTCTCCTTTTTTTTAATTGAAAAGGTTTCTTTTGCGAGTATGACAATACAGGAAATTACCATTAAACTCAAGTGAGAGTCTCCTATTTCTTCTTCCCACCTCTGTGCTACTCTGCTCTGATGATGAAAGGCTACTTCACCAGCCACTTATAAACATTAATTTTCTTTTAGTAGTTTGAACCAAGACAAGGAAAATGTGAATCACTTGCCTGATACCATGTATGTTTTTGATTGCGTAGCTTATTTCTCTTCGCAATTCCTTCTCGTTGAACTCCATCTGCAGATACGAAACAAGCCAGTCATGACACTTAATTCCTTTGAATAACAATATTGTTGAATATTAAAAAATGAGAAGAACTTGACTTCATTATTAATAAATGGATACTCATGTCTTTCCTAACCTAAACCCAGATGGTCAAAACATCTGTTTATATAAAGTTCAAGGCAACACAGAACATTGGGGATTTCTGGGAGTTTTAGTGTAGTGGATTTTAACTCTATTACAGACAGGAGTGCTGTGCATAAAGGATGCCTTCTGGACATAAATCTGGCCATTCATTTGAAATACACAATTCTCCATTCTTCTGCTGCATGTAGTAAATGTATTCAGAGACAAATGCATAAATAAGAGTGTCACCTGACATGCAACAGCGGTCCAGCTGTGCTCAGATTAACGATGGCTGTCTTTTCTCCCCGGCCACTTTAACCACCTGCATTCAAGGCCTCTTTACGAGAGGAAATTAATAATATTTTACCAATCCAACGCAGGATGGATGACTGCATAAAAACTTCCCAAAAGTTCTAGGTACTTTAAAGCTATTTGGAATTAGGATCAAAATGTCATGGAGCTCAGACCTAAAAGGGTATCAAGAGCACAGTTGGTTCAGTCTCTGACTTCTGAGATCTGGCCTCTCCAGTATCACTGTCTATGCACCGCCCCTCTCATACTTCATACTGTAGAACGATTAATTGCTTTAGTTTCCTGCCCACACCCTGTGGGCCACAGCTCAGCTTTTACTGTTCCTCCTTCTTGATCTGGAACAAGCCCAGGCCCCAACACCCTCCCTCAACCCTCTCCTGCTTGACTAGCTGCTCATCCTTCCAAACCCAGCTCAGAAGCCAGGCTCCCTCACACACTCAGGCTGGGATTCAGGTCCGTAGGCTGTGTTTCCATAGCACCCTGTGCTGAAATTTATCACTTTACTTAGCACATTTTAATGAAACTATCTGTTTACCCATTCACCTCCCACACCGAGACATAAACACCCTCCCTCTGTATGTGAAGCAAGGAGCAGAGTCCCTAATACTCCTTGGCCACATAATGGGTAAGCCAACCTAAGCAGAGCCAAAATAAAACTCTCAGTTCATACCTCTACACAAACTCCGCTTTTGCTCAGTTTCCCTCATCTAATAGCCAATAGTCACTAGCATTTGCTGCCGTACAAACCAAAGCCTTAGGAGTCATCTTGAATTTCCTTTCTTGCATCCACCATATCAATCCAAGCCCTACCAACCCACAGACCCAACCACTGTCTCCATCATTCTGTTCTGAGGCATCTTTACTGCGAAGCTAAAGAAGATTACGGTTCAGGGCTTCTCTCTTAACAGAAATACCTTCCAAGACCCTATGCCTAACTGTGTGTTTGTAATTTTGCATTCTTCTTCTTTAAGTCTGCCCCTCCCAACTGTATAAACTTTAGGGCCCATGGAAAGTGGGTTCACTCCTGCTCTGGCCCTATTGTTTAACTCACCTTGTCTCCCTAAATCAACTCTTGCCCCTCTAGGATCCAGTCTTCAGAGTGTTCTTTTAAAATCATCCACCAAATCAGGCCACAACTTTTCTTAAAACTCTCCCCTAACTTCTCATGAGTATATGTGAATATCTCACCGAACCCGGAAGGCCCTGCATTAACTGGGCATCCCTGCTCTGAATTCACGGCATACCCCCCTCCCCCTTCATCCGCTCTGCACCAGCCTCATCTGTTCTCTACCCACAGTACAGACGCTTGCTGCAGGGCCTCACCCTCGGCTGCTTACCTTGGAACGACCCTCTTCCCCAAGGTCCTCACCCCTGACCTCTTCATGCGATTCTGGTCAAGCTTTCAATGTCTGCTACTCGGAGGGACCTTGTCTGAAATGCTCTATCAAAAGTGGCTCACTCGGGGCAGCTGGGTGGCACAGACAGGTAAACATCTGAGCCTTGGTTTCAGCTCCAGTCATGATTTCAGGGTCCTGGGATTAAGCTCCTCACGGGGCTCTGCACTCGGCAGGGAGCCTGCTTGAGATTCTCTCTCTCCCTCTTCCTCTGCCCCTCCCACTCCTGCTGTCCCTCTCTCTCTCTCTAACAAATAAACCTTAAAAAAAAAAAAAAAAAGAAGTGGTTCACTCAACCCCTCTGGCTAACATTATGTTACATAATGACACTTGATATTTTCTTACTTTGTCTATTTGTAAAATTCTCTGCCTAACCCCACCGGACAGTGCCTCTGTCTTCATCACTGGCACCTGGAAGTTTGGCACAGAATAGGTACTCAAGAAATATTTTCAAATTAATTTGACAACAAATAAACTTCATAGGAACTCAATTAGTATCTGGTGAAATAATTTGAAATGCTGTTAGACCCCATTAAATAAATAAAACCAGAACCATCAGAAGAAAATACTTCTCTCCTAAATTTCATCACCTGAGCATGAAGATTTTTATTCAAAGACCTGAGTCCTATATCACTCCCATGACGTTTTATGAACAGTTGCAGAAAAGGACATGGAAATGAAATGAAGTGAAAGGAGGGAAAAAAATAACATTTGGTACAAACCTTTACTATCTCAAAAGGAAAGCGTTCGTGGAATATACGATTGATTTTAGCCCCTCCCGAGAGCTCCAGGGTATCCACTTGGTCCCCTGACCCTTCGATTCTCTTCTCGAAGTCCACAGCAAACTGCTGAACCATCCTGTAATTGTGGAAGAGAAGTGAATTCAAGTTACACTTATAAGGCTTTGTATCTCTCATTTTCATTTACTATGTGAGCCCTTGGGATCCTTTTCCGAGTGTTCTTAGTGGCACCTACTGGCAGAATGAACACTGCACGCCACTCAGCACTCAAAAGTGTAATGATATGACATACATGTTATTAAGATTTATTTTAGGCAGTTAATTAAAATACATATCATAAGTATCTGTGTCATTCGGTGCATTCTGTCCCTTTAGTTGAAACCATAAAGTGGTATTTTAAAATATTTCAATTAGGAATTAAAATTAAACAATAAAACTTTACATAGAAGAGTCAAAATGCTCCTCAGTTCCTATGAGCTCACACTCGCCTAGTGCGTTAACCGCGCCCTCCTGCTCTGCCAGCTTCCCTCCGCCCTGCCCCCAGCATCACAGACAAGCAAACTGGGGAGCCCCATCCCGCTCTCCAGCTAGCTCTAGCCTTGTTTTTCAATGATTTCTCACAACTGGATAATAAAACTCCTTAAGCCATCACACAAGGTTCTCCGTGGTCTGGCCCTGGATGCTCCATCTGTCACCACTCACCCCCATTCGCCTTCCAGGCCAACCAGAAAGAAGCCATCCGCAGTCCCCTACGTGCACCACGTCTCTGTGCTTCTCCACTCGTTTCTTTTCAGAACACCATTCTTTCTGCGCCTTGCTTCCTTGCCTGCCTAATCCTTATCTGCACTTCGAGACTCATTTCAAGCATTACTCATTCAGGAAGCTTTCCACGGTCCTGTCTGCACCACTCCTCACCGCACCTGGTTCCTTTGGCTCATTTTCCTTGGTCCTCCGGCTTACTGGCAGCACAGCACTTGGTGGGGTCCATCACTCTCGTTCCCCTGTCAGCCTCTCTCCGAAGGGCAAGCGCCACACATTTTATTTACCGCCCCACCAGGCCAGTGTAGGAGAGACACTCGGTAACTTCAACTAAGGAGTGAGTTACCTTAAGGTAGTTGGTAAAAATCAAAGAAATATATAACAGGGAGAAAAGAACAACCTACTTGCATGTTCGACTGCTAGATGTAGAAATTCTAATTCTGGCACGCTGATACTACTTTCAAATTTGAAAGTCAACAGAAAAAAATTCAAACCATCTAAGACTCGTATCTTTTATTCTCTTTCATCAAAATCGTGGATGAATTACAACAGCAAATCAGGCCAGAAAATCCAGAACACAATTTGATGTAGCTATGTTTATGCATACACCCATGTTCATCTAATTTTTAACCACCTGAGAAGGTACATACATGAGAAAGCACCGAAACACTGGGAAATTTTAGGAAATTTACCTCTAGCCTACACTCCAGCCCCCTGCCCCACTGAGACGAGCTGCGAACAATCTCACATTATTCTCTTGTCCTCCTCTTTCGCCTGACACCCTCCCCCATATGTTAGGTTCTCCTTAAAGTACCTTTTCCTTTGCGAACTCACAACCTTCCTCACCTGTAACTGCTTCCTCATCTGGCCTCCAACAACAGTTTACACTTACCAGAAACATAGCATTTATCAGATTTTAACACAGTTAGTTGCTTATATATCTGTCTCCCTTGCTCTAATGTGGCCTCTTCTTGAGGACAGAAGTCTTAGTTGTCGTTGAATCGCCAGTAGATAGCACAGAGTCAGACACCAAGTCGAACACAAGAGATGAGAGGAAGGCAAGAAGAGAGGCAGGCAGAAAGGAGGGAAGAAAGAAAAAAGAAAGGGATGGAGGGAGAGAGGAAGGAGCTGATCAGCCCCCCTGCTAGGGAAGAATCCAGATGTGGAAAATTCTGTAATTTGAATCCAGTGGAGTCACAGAGGCAAGACTAGTATTTGTAAGGAGAGTAGTTTCAGCTGGATGTTACGATGATGACCTAGGACCTAAACAGGAATAGCTTTCTTTTCTCTGTAACTTGAAGAGTTTTTATAGGAGCTTAACCAAAGCCAAGAATAAAAAGGAAAAGATAAACTAGGAAAGAGTTGAATCCAAGAAAAAACCCTTTTCTCTGTATGATTCTATATTTTTAAATGGGAAACATTAGATGTTACATTGAATTTTTACTTAAATAATTTGAGCATTTAGAAATAGCTCCACAAAGAAAGGAATTTTGTCATGTATTTTGAACACCAAATTAAGGGCATCTTGATTACAAGGCTGTACAGGAAGAAAGGGACCGCAAGAGATGGGAAGCATCATCTTTGGAAATGGACTTAGGGTGCCCCAGAATATCAGCTGGGCAGAGGGTCTTCTGTTTGAGAGGGACTGAGGTAAGTGGCAGTACAAGGATAAAAGGACAGATGAAGCTGCGAGGGGCCGAAAAATGGAAGAAAGATAAAAGACAGAAGGAGCTCGCAATTCTCTACCAACTCTGCTGTCCTACCCAAGACCTCTCAGGGATACAGAGGAGTAAAAAGATACTTGGCAGTTCTCACATTAGTGTTTTTAAAGAGCTACATTAAAATCATTACCAAAAAGGGTAAAAGATACTTAAATGTGGCTTTACTGTCCATACTTTATTAAAGCCTTGGGTCTCATTCCACTGAAAAATGTACACAGCTAAATCACATGAAATAACAGACGTAAGAAGATAGTAAGAACGAATGGCATCGGTAGAAACAGTTGTACAAGACAGACAACATTGTCGACAAGATCTTCGTTCACTTCTAAAGACTAAGGGCAAACACCTGCTGAGTTATCACTATGCGTTTGACTCATTTACAGAATCCAATGATACAAGCATGGGAAACTGGACATGGGGTTGGACAGTTGGTTCAATATATGGTAACAGAGTAAGACTAACAATGATTCTTCAAGAACACAAAAGCCTTGAGGCTGCTATTTAACACACACAGTCTTGTCACCTTATTGCTTCTTCTGTTAAACCTAGAAAACAGCATGACGAAGAGACGGAGACCAAGCAAACAGAAGAATTCGTTTCAAGCGCTGAGCAAGGGGAGGGTAAGGGGGACTCACTGCAGCAATGCCTTGGTCTTCCTGGTGGGGTCTTCCGGCTTGAAGTTCTTGTAGGCTTCCACTTCATGCTCGATGGACAGCAGCTGTCCCTGCAGTTTGTTCCTGAAGTTTGGGAGGGTGTCCCGAATGTGGTTGGTAAGTTGCTAAATAAAACAGAATTGTATAGACATAACAGATTAAAGATTAACTCACGAAACAAAAATTGACCTTCCTTGTTTTCCTAATGTTTAAAACTTAGAAATCATACACATATACACATTTGAGAATGACTATGTAGGTAAATCATGAGAAGGAACTCCGGCTCTCTCCTGGCCTTAAGGAGATGCTCAAAACTCCTTCAAATGGAGCCCCTCACTTGGGCTACCCCTTCATGCTGGGCTGGAAATACCCTGTCAAAATGCACTGACATTAACAGAGGCTGCCTAATAACACTAGAGGAGGGACCGAGTTATCTGATTACCTAGATTGCAGAAGGGAGCCTTGGGCCAGAATGAGGTTAGAAAAGCAGAAGCTGGAGTTACAGGCACTGCCGGACGTTTCGGGACCTGTAACTAGTGGAACTTGTAGGTACATGGCACCTGCTCATGTCCCCTCCATTCTGCAGCTCAGACAGGAGCTTCCGCTTGCCCCGCCTCTCGGCCCCAGTCTAGTGGTGGTGGCTCACTGGCTTACGCCTTCAGGAGGGTGCGCTCAAAAGCTCCCTGACCAGCAAAGGAAAACTCGCTCTCTCGCTCTCTCTGCTCTGGACATCTCCACTTTACCATCCACTTGGCAATTCCCCTGAGATCATCTGCTGGCACGTCAAGCTCAGCAGGATGAAAAATTCTCCAAGAGACTGTCTATGAGGACATGCTTAATTAAGAACAAAGGTGGATGTAAACCCAGATTGGCTCACTCTCTGCCTTACGTTCTTTCTATCACAAGCAGTTAAACAAAAGTCTGAATTAAAAGAGAAAAAGAAATGGGTTCCTGGGTGGCTCAGTGGGTTAAGCCTCTGCCTTAGGCTCAGGTCATGGTCTCAGGGTCCTGGGATCGAGCCCCACATCGGGCTCTCTGCTCAGCGGGGAGCCTGCTTCCCCCCTCTCTCTGCCTGCCTCTCTGCCTACTTGTGATTTCTCTCTCTCTGCGTCAAATAAGTAAAATCTTTAAAAAAGAGAGGGAGAGAAAGAAAGAAAGAATAAAAAAGATAATCTTCTTAAACTGGTTAAGGAATAAACTTGAATCAAAAGAAGGAGAATGTAAACTTCAGAGAAATACATGAAAAGGAATCATAAGTTAAAAGGGGAATAAAAACCCAGATTGACTGCAGAAATCATTCTAAATCACTTTTATGTTTACTGGAGGTTACCTGACTATATTTATTCACTACAGTTATTTAAATGTAATAGTTCACAACTCTATCAGACCTTTGCCCACAGTTATGACTTATGTTACTTCCCAGCATGCTGTTGTTACAGCTCTGAAGCAGCAAACAAAAGCATGGGGAGGACAGCATTCCCAGTATCAACCTCACAAACCCCCAAGTTGAAGAGCAACAGTGACCATGAGAAACCAGCGGCTACCTGTCCACCGTGTGAGTGGTAAATGATAAAAACACATGGTTTCCACCTTTTGCTTCTCAGATATCTCAACAGCAAAAGCAATACTGTGGGCCACTCTTGGCTTTCTGAAACAGTTCTTTCCTTGGCTTTTGTGACCCTAGTTCCTCTCATTTTTCTCCTAAACTTTCAGATATACCTTCTAGATCTCCTTTGCCAAGCCATCCCCCTCCACCAGACCTGTAAATAACAATATTCCTTGAATCTGAGTCTTAACTTTCTTCTTTGTTCACTCTCTGTTCCTCCTAAAGTAACCTTATTCCACTCATGGCTTTAATAAATATTCAAATGCCTGTAACTACCAGTGTGTTATCTACAGACGAGACTTCTAATCTTTCCAGCAGGCACACGTATTAGACCATGGACTTGACTTCTCTTAGATGTGCCAATGAAACCTCAGCCTCAGCAAGTCTGAAATCAAACACCTAATCTTGCTTTCGGGATTCTCCATCTCGGTGACTTCAAAACAATATGGGAACTTGGAATGTATCCTTGACTTCATGTCTCCATCACCCACCAGAGTTAATCTACCACCAGTTTTTGATTTTTCCTAAACATTTTTCAATTCTGGCTTTTTTCGTCTTCACTGGCCCTAATCAAGACCAAGCTATCGTCATTTCCTTTGACTCCTAACTTCTCATGTCTAATCTTCTTATCTGGAACCACCATGATCATTTTTAATCCACAGCTATGATTGTGTAATTCCCCTACTCAGATGCCTTAAATGACTCACTCCCCACTACTCTTAGGATAAGAACAAAAATCTTTACCTTGCCTACAAATATTACAAGATCCAGCCTCTGCCTACTTCTCCAAATTCATCTCATACCTCACTCCTTCATTCACTGCCCTCCAGCCATCATGACTCAAAAATGTCATGTTCTATTCCAGTTTTCATCACAGAAACTGTCCCTCAGGGCCAGAGGTATCAGTGCACATTGAATCAACCATGGAAGCACCCTAGTTTCAAACAGTATGAGATCCCTGAAGCAATAAAAAAGAAACTGATTATCCAAGAAACGAGAGATCTTCAGTACAAAATCCATTCGGTTTTCAGTCAACCAGAATCCAGTCATGTCATAATTTAGGGGTCATTTGTATAACCAAATAGCCAGTCACAGTCTTTCTACTTTTCTAGTATTCACAACCTAATTTATTTCCAACTTTATCTTCATAATCATCTTAGTGATTTTTCTCTAAGAATTTTTCAGTTTGTGTTTCTCTTAGACCTATACAGGCATGAAAGCAGTAATCTACAAAACTACATATATTGGTAGAATATTACGGTCTTCGTGTGGCAAGCCAATGTTCCTTCTCTAAAATATATTCGTGTTTGTGAAAGGACACAACCATAGCACCACGTCATGGCTTTTAAATACTCATCTACCCTTAATTAAAAAGAACAAACTTGGAGGGTGTATGCTATGGTGAGTAGCTGTGAAGTGTGTAAACGTGGTGATTCACAGACCTGTACCCCTGGGGCTAATAATACATTATATGTTAATAAAAAATTATTAAAAAAAATAAAAAATTATAAACAAATAAAGAAAGAAAAGGAAAGGAAAAAAAAAACACAAACTTTACATGAGTCTACGTTATGTCACTTGAAATAGAACTATACCCCTGCTTTCTTATTTTCTAAAACTTCTTCAATTGCCCTGCCTAAAGGGTTCAGGTCCAATGTCACAAGTAGCCTGCTATGTTGTTAGTCTCTACTGATACCTTCTAGGAGCAAACAATTAGGACATTCAATACCGATCTGATTGGTTGACTGTTAAAGTTCATAAACAAAAGTTAAAGCATATCTTATGATTCTATTTGTGAGAAAAGCTGTTCGCCACATGAGTCAATACAATCATAACTCAGGGAGCGGCCCGGCGTACCCTGAGGATGATGCTTAACTTCCCTAGGAGATGGAAAATATGTAGCCAAGTAAGAGCACTGGGGTTTTATTCAAGAAGGTTGTAAGTGCACGGAATGTGGGAAGATGGAGGCCCAGGTCTATCCGCGTGGGGAAAGGGGCTAGCCGGAAAACTGAGATGAATGGAGATCAATGACTGCTTATAAGCCTTCATTATTTTCAAAAATTTAAATGAAGGAACAAATTGATCCTAAACAAAACCATAAAGAAATTTTAAAAAGAAATCTAACCTAACCATAACAGATTGACATTTTCAAAACAGAGCCCAAGAAATCAAACTTTCAGAGATGTACAATGATAATTTCTTTTTTTTTAAAGATTATTTATTTATTTATTTGAACGAGAGACAGAGAGAGAGAGAGAGAAAGAGACACCTAGAGACAGAACACAAGCAGAAAGAATAGGAGAGGGAGAAGCAGGCTCTCCGTTGAGCAGGGAGCCCAACCTGGGGCTCAATCCCAGGACCCTGGGATCACAACCTGAGCTGAAGGCAGACGCTTAGCAACTGGGCCACCCAGGTGCTTCTAATTTCTTTCTTTCTTTTTTTTTTTTTTAATGATTTTTTTTTTAAGATTTTATTTATTTCTTTGACAGAGATCACAAGTAGGCAGAGGCAGTCAGAGAGAGAGAGAGGGAGGCAGTCTCCTTGCTGAGCAGAAAGCCCGATACGGAGTTCTATCCCAGGACCCTGGGATTATGACTTGAGCTGAAGGCAGAGGCCTTAACCCATTGAGCCACCCAGGTGCCCCCAGGTGCCCCTAATTTCTTAAGATGACTACATCTTGTGAGTAAAATGGGTGCTGATCATATACCCTTATTCACTGTTCTTAAAGAAGTGTATTTCTGCTCTGAGCAGTGTACTTTCAGTAACATTAAATAGATTTTACTCACTGAGAATAGTAACAGTGTGCAACTAAGTACTCATATTCACTTTTTAATTCCTGTCATTTAAGCAGAATGTCTTAATTTGGAAAGAATTAATATTAAAATGAGACATATGAATTCCAACAGTCCCTTCCATATTTCATAATTGTTCCTGTTCCTTGAGAAAACGTCTTTACCTGATTAAGGACCTTCTGCAGGTGTGGGGTCCCCATCCGATCAGCAATATGTCGGTAAGCCGGGTGCGAGAGAAAAAACTTCCTTTCGGCCAACATGGCAGCCTTAATGTCCTTCTTCCCATCTATATCCTTCTGGCTTCTGTTTACCACGCCCACATAACCTGAAATGGAGCACATACAATGTGGTTTGGGACACTTGTTCATTTTGGGGAGATTTCAAGGCTCTCAAACAGGCTGAGAAGAAAAGCAAAATTATTTGTAAGGGCTGAAGAACTGAACCCTTTGCAAAACTCAGTGTGAGACATCAGTATTTAACAAAGGCTGGCTGAGGTGGCTAATGACACTTTGTTAACAGTAACACATTAATGTCTTTTGCCCTTAAAAGTTCTGTGCACTTTAATACAGTGTGTCCCTTCGCAGTATTGTTACATGGTGGGCAAGTAAATAAGTCACACTTGGAACAGCACAGGGTACATTCATGGCAGTCGATGATGCGTATTTATACCCTCCTTCAAACTCCTTCCTTTTCCTGTTTTCTTATTCCTGTTATTTTAAGGAGGAGTTCTCCCTTTAGATCATTTTTAATATATCATTTGGGTACATTATGCCATTCCCGAAAAAGTGTAATTAATCATAAATACATTCCCCACAGCTGTGAAGGCATAAAACTCAGCTTCCCATCGGTTTCCCGATTGTTTCTCTGCCACGTCATCGAAGGAGTCCCATACGGGATGTGATACATTACCCCTGCGGAGAGGCAGCAGCTTATTCTCTAGAACGTCCCTGGCATCTGTTCCTTCATCCATAAGATCCAGTTTGGTGATGACGCCAATGGTTCTCAACCCTGCATAGAAAACAAACTCAGCATTACACAGCTTGTAGAAGACAAACCAATTTTAGAGACATACATGTCCCAATGCTAAATGCAGGCACTCCTATTTCTGTCATTTTCCTGTTCCTCTCTGTCTTACTTTGTTTTCTAGTCCACTGCTACCCCAGTCTGGTGGACTCTGATGGGGTGAGAAGGAGAGTTGTATCATCCATAAGGTGACTTTCACTTCCGGAGAGAAAATAACAAACAGGTGTATCACCACCATAATTCTAAATATATGCATTTATTTTTGTACCACACATACATGGAAATTATACACGTTACATTTTCCTCCAAGGTACTGGACACAATGTGGGTGCTTTAATTTTTTTATGTATTACCTTATTGTAAATAAACAAGCAAGACCAGTGAAGAGAGTGTATCATAAACCAAAGCTTATTATTGATTCAGTTCTAAGCCCTTGACAAACAAATACGAAGAAGAAACTTAGGCATATGATAGTGTCATCCCCAAAAATAAAGTTTCAAGTCTCACAGCATTCACTGTTCATTAGAAAAAGATAAATGATTTAATGGAAAGAAGACCAAATGAAGAATCCTGGTGCTTGGATTCTAGTCTCGAGGCAAGTCATTTAACCTGGGTCTCAGTTTTCCTATCTGTAATATAAAGAGTTGGAGACCAAAATCACCAAGATACCTTCCAGTAATAAAACTATATAAAGACCCAGACATTTTATGTAACATATCAGATACCTCGCCTTTGTCCAGTGTTTTATGTACTAGATGAAATGAACAATATTTGCTTAGTGATTCATATTTTTAAGTGCATTTCTTTGGACATGATATATTAAACACATACCTTTATCTTTTTGCCTAAAACCACTCTAAAATGGCTAATATTTATTAGGCCAGCTATGGTTTTTGCATGCTTTATGTCTCTTAAATCATTTGCTCTTAAAAAGGACTCCAACTATTTTTTTAAGATGAAGAAACTGAGGCAGAAAGAGAGATTAAGTAGTTTTCCCAGGGTCATACAAGGGGTGGGTCTAGGCGTCCAGAGCCCATGCTTTTAACCAATATACTGCTATATACTGCTTCTTGCAATACAAAGAATTTTAAAAATAAAAAAGGTTTAAATCAAGAAAGCCAAAGAAAATGGGAGAATGGAAGAAAAACGCTGAGACTGTAAGGCCAGTGGGATAACTGTCAACTAAATTGATAGACTAGAGAGGAAAACTGTGTTCAAGAAAGCCAACAACCGAAGCCCAGAAGCAGGGTCATTTCCATCACAGCCTCTCGGAAAGGTTCAGGGACGCCAATAGTTCTGACAATAGTTGGCAGTAGTGGGGGCAGTTGAGGCTGACAACAAGATCACTGGGTGAAAGCAGTGAGATTTCCATGGATAACATAGCTAGGAGCCGCCCCGGCTCAACCTGGCAGGAGAGCACACAGTCTATTCTCTGGAAACACGGAACTATGGAAAACTGCCCTAATGGGCACCTGACCCAGTTAGAGGGCAGCAGGTATTAAAAGAGGGTGATTATGAAATCCCACATACTGAATGGCAAGACCTCTCTGCCCAGTCCAGTTTAAGAAAACGCTGGCTGGTAGAATTTAACCTCCCAAGCAGGAGATTGCAAAAATTCTGTCTGGGTTTATTAACCATTATTAGAGGAAAACATAGATATTAAAATTCAGAGGAACTCCAATTAAGACAGCCCAATAAATCATCCTACTGTGAAGCCTGTAACTCATTTATTCAAGCACACCCACATAGAGTTTCCTGTTAATATTTCACTTTTAAATATAAATCAGTAAGCATAGGTTACCAACTGTCATCATGCAAAATTATTACGATATTAATATAATATAAATATTATTGACTATATTCCCTATAAGTGACTTATTTATTTTATCATACTGAGATGTATATAATTGTAGAATGACTATGTTATATACCTGAAGCTAATAGAATATTGTGTGTCAACTACACTTCAATAAAAAATAAAAATTTAAAAAATTATTTGAGGGCGCCTGGATGGCTCAGTGGGTTAAGCCGCTGCCTTCAGCTCAGGTCATGATCTCAGGGTCCTGGGATTGAGCCCCGCCTCGGGTTCTCTGCTCAGCAGGGAGTCTGCTTCCCTTCCTCTCTCTCTGCCTGCCTCTCTGCCTACTTGTGATCTCTCTCTGTCAAATAAATAAATAAAATCTTTAAAAAATTTTTTTAAAAATTAAAAATTATTTGAAATGTGAATGGATAGCCAAGGAGAGTCTCTGAGACCAAAACAAATAAATATTGTAAAACAGTACTGAAGAAACAAAGATAATACAAAACATAGACAAAAACGTTATTATTTTTATTAATATCCTCAGAGAGAAACAAGAGGTCACTGCATTCATAGGACAAGAAAAGAATGTCATAAAAGGAAACATTCAAACAAAAGGAATTCTCACTAACAAAATATGAGAGTAGAAATTTCTTTAAAAATGTTAGTAGTGGGGCGCCTGGGTGGCTCAGTGGATTAAGCTGCTGCCTTCGGCTCAGGTCGTGGTCTCGGGGTCCTGGGATCGAGCCCCACATCCACCTCAGCATCCCTGCTGAGCGGAGAGCCTGCTTCCCCCCTCTCTCTGCCTGCCTCTCTGCCTACTTGTGATCTCTCTCTCTGTCAAATAAATAAATAAAATCTTAAAAATGTTAGTAGAATGGTTGGAGTACAAAGTTAGAAACTCTTCTGCATAACAAAAGAAATAGAAGTAAATAATAGAAAAGGAAAACTTGCTTAAATAAACTAGACAAATAGGGGCGCCTGGGTAGTTCAGTTGGTTAAGCATCCAACTTTTGGTTTTGGCTCAGGTCATGACCTCGGAGTTGTGAGATCCAGCCCTGTGTTGGGCTCTGTGCCCAGTGCACAGTCTACTTGAGTTCTGTTTCTCCCTGTCCCTCTCCCCATCCCCTGCCTTCTATCTCTCTCTCTCTCTCTCAAATAAATAAATAAATCTTTAAAAAAAAATTAACTAGAGAAATTATTTAGAAGATCCAATTTCTGAATAATTGGCATTCTAGGAAAACAGAAAAGATGAAACAGAAATAGTTGGGGGGGGCATACGAGTAAAGAAAATATTCTATAAGTGAAAGATTAATTTATGTATTAAATAAACCCATCAAGTGTCCAACATTATATGAAGCACACACACAATATGGCATAGCAGTATAAGATTCAAAACACTGTGAACAAAAAAAAATCCTAATAAGCTCCTAAAGAAGTTAAGAAAAGAAAGTGACAAAAAAGTTTGGAAATCATTATAGTTCAGTCTTCCCAGCAACAAACTGGAAACTAAAATTGAATAGAGTGCTGTTTTCAAAATTCTGAGGGAAAAAGTTATTTCTAGCCTTGAATTCAAAACTATCAATAAATGTGTGAGTAGAAAAAGATATTTTCAGACTTGCAAAATCTCAAAATATTTTACCTCCCTTTCTCTTTCTTTGGAAACTACTAAAGGATCGGTTCCATCAAAAAAGGAAAGCAAACTAACAAAGAAGTAAATAAGAGATCCAGGAAGAAAAAAGTTAATATAACCAAAAAAGGAAGGGAATTTTCAGGATGGTGTAGATCCCAGTACTAGGCTGGAAGAAGAGTCAATATCTATTTGAATGAGAAGACACAGATTACTGAAGAGCTGTATTTCACCACTAAGAAAAAAAAATGAAAGTACTAGAACACCTAATGCCTAAGATTTTTTAAGGTATTAAGAGATTTCAACTCCTAGAGGAGAGGCTGGGAATCCATTGGTGATGGATATTTAGAAGATTATGCAAACAAACAAAAAGACAAGCTATCTACCTCAAAGACAGCAATATCATGTAAGAAAGGAAATGTAATCAAAATTTACACAGGGCTCAGCTGTGAATGATATTTTCAGAATTACAATTATTTAAATATAATGTAATTATATTAGTAGAACACAGGAGGGTCCATGTATATATGTAAGGTTAGTATATGTGGCTATGGGAGAAAGAAGACAGATAAATTCTTCTCTACAGTAGGAAGTTAAAAGTAAAAATCTAAAGATAAAAAATCAAGAAATAGTAGTATGAACAATTTACATAGAAATATGAAGGTAAACACCAAAAGAAAGCTGAAAGTGATAGCTTCTGGAAATCAGTAATCAAGAGTCAGGAGGAATGGGCAAGGGACAGACAGTTTTTGTTAAAGGCCTTTGGGACTGGGTCACCTGGGTGGCTCAGTGGGTTAAAGCCTCTGCCTTAGGCATGGGTCATGATCTCAGGGTCCTGGGATCAAGCCCCACATCGAGCCCCGCATCGGGCTCTCTGCTCAGCAGGGAGCCTGCTTCCTCCTCTCTCTCTGCCTGTCTCTCTGCCTACTTGTGATCTCTGTCTGTCAAATAAATAAATAAATAAAATCTTATTTTAAAAAAGAAAGAAAGAAAAGCCTGATTTTTGGGACTGATTTTTAAACTGTGTATGTTTATAATATTAATAAAAATAAAAGTTAAATTTTAGAAGTATTTTCTTTACTACTTCTTTATTTCTACGAAGGCAGAGAAATCTATGCTTGATGGTATACCAGAAATAACAAAGGAGATTATTTTCTTTTCATGTTAATTATACAAATAAGCAGCTTAAAATAATCAATGAACTCCTTCTGGCATACTGGAGACCTACACCGACAAATCTCAAAAAGCCATTGCCTAAGCGATTCAAAGGAAACATATTTTAAAAGCACTTCACTAGTAACCTAGAAACTCAGATAAAGATAATAATAGAGACCATGTATTGAGTGCTGACTAGGTACTGGGAATAGACTTGAAACAACTCTTTGAGATGGGTACTGCTATTTTCTCAATTATGTGGATCAGGAAAATGAGATTTGGAGAGGAAAACATGCTTCCCTAAAAGCTCACAGCCTGTAGGGTGTGGAATCCAGGCAACCTATTTCCATTTTTAATCCCTATATTTTTCTGCCACCCAATCTCAGCTAGATTCTACAAGGG